TTTGTTGATATTGTGCAGTTTGTGTGTTGACTCAGTATCTCAGAATGTATAGGTAGTGGACTGAAAAGGGTTCTCTGTTTCTGATTTCCGAAACAACAGTTACAAAATCGCCATACAAAATGATCTGACACAGTGTAAATAACAATTATAACTGAATTATAACATATTATATAAATGTATATATATTATTATTGTAAGTTATTGTAAATGGGTTTATATTCCATGCATTGTACAAAACATTGTAGTTAATTTAAAGAACCAAATCTCTATTTTCTACTTTCAGTTCAATTCAAATTAGCTTTATTGGCATGAATGTATAACAGTAATATTGCCAAAGCATCATACAAACTACATAAGAGCAATCAACCCCATACATTTCATTAAACAAGTAATGAAAGCGTAAAGTAATTAAAGCGTATGTCTACTTAATTCTTCACACTTAATTCACAAAATTTCCAAAAAACCTTATTCTTCCCCTCTCTTTATATAAATCTCCCGGGACCCAAACTTATAAACTTCTGATAAAGAACACAACAATTCATGAATTTAAAACTTATATAGAATGTTTTTTATTTCAGTACATCACAGGAACAATCAAATTTGAGTGTCTGTAATGTATATTTCTCCCCACCACATATTGAACTTGCACCGAAAAATTAGGACAGCAGTAAGGCAATATACTTTGACTATGTCAGCTGGAGTTGTGAGGGCGGCCAAGTACATAAAGTACATCACAGCAATAATCAAATTTGCTGAATGCAATGTGATCCTGTCGGAACAGTATCCAGGAACCTCCCAGTTTGTCACAAGCACCTATTTGATTGGATCCGGCACGCCTTTTGTCACTATCAAAATATGCAAGCCCCACATAGGGTAGCCCGGGTACAGTCGGTACACTTTTTGCTTTTTCCATTACCACACCAGAACTCTGGACTGAGAAGAAGTGATTTTTCATATGACATTTTCTGTACTTGTTTACTGAAATATCAATAATCAGTAACATCCATAAGTAGTTAATATGTGCCACAATTAGCTCATAAACACAAGAAGCATTTTTGTTCCAACTGTACTCATGTATAGGGCACAGTTAGAACAGTACCTGAGTACAGCTGAGACACCCACGATCAAAAAAGACGCTAATATGCATGAGTAAACCAAATATCACAGATCAGATCAGGCTTGTTGCGCACTTACGTTATTTAAGATATTTCAACTTTATTTATTTATTTATTTGTTTTTTTATTTATTTAAAAGGGACAGTGCATATTAATGGACATCTTAGTTTTTCAGCATTATACATATACTATACTATTATACATCTGTGGTCTGCCGGCAGGTCGTCAAAGTACAAGGTAACACAGCTAAACATTAAATTAGATATATGATACAACACAATTTAAGAGACAGCACAATTTTCAACATCATATTATAAAAGACACCACAGTTTTGTAGACAGGGTAATGGAATTTAAAGTGCTGTTTATGCAGTAAAGTGCCCATCTATTAAATTAAGTACAATTTAATTATGTTAAAGTATTATTTAGTGCAGTGAAGTGCTGCATCTAGGACGGTAAACAGTGTGGGAGCAGGGAGAGCTCTAAAACATGCAGGACTAGTGTGCCTCCAGGAGAGGGTTGGGAAACACTGTACTAGACGACGAAGATAGACGTTTTGGCATACTGTAGGCAGATCATTGATATATAAAGAGAACAGAATTGGTCCAAGTGTGGAGCCTTGGGGGACTCCTACTGGACATTCGAGGTGAGGAGATTTAATATTGTCGACAACAGCTGCACTGTATGCTGGCAAGTGCTTTAAAGTGTTTTGTTGTTGGTAGATGTCACTTAGCTCAGTTTGTGTGATTCATTTCATTGCACTCTTGACTGCATTGTCATCTTTGGTGATTTTGAGGTGATCAAAACTGTGAAACGTCTGCCTAATTTATTTCTCCAACATATCCCAAAACTAGGAGCAATCGAGGCTTTGACACAGAGCTATTGATGGTGACAGCCATGAAAACTGACGAATATTTAATATTAAACAAGCTTTACCCCGATGTGTAAGAATATTTGAGTACGTGGCCCATTTTTAGCCGAAAATTGTGGCCCATGGTCTAGCTGGTTTAGCAAGCTAAAAAAGTAGAGTAGTGTGGGGTAAGTACCCCCCTAAGTTCAGTGTCTATTTAAAAGGCCACTCGAAAATGTGCAGTTCCATCACACAGCACAATGCCACAGATGTCGCAAGTTTTGAGGGAGCGTGCAATTGGCATGCTGACTGTAGGAATGTCCACCAGAGCTGTTGCCCGTGAATTGAATGTTAATTTCTATCCAACCGGCCTCACAACCGCAGACCACATGTAACCACACCACCCGGACAGCTGCGGCAACAATCGGTTTGTAAAACCAAAGAATTTCTGCACAAACTGTCAAGAACCATCTCAGAAAGCTCATCTGCATGCTCGTCATCCTTATCAGGGTCTTGACCTGACTGCAACTTCGCACAGCTGTTGAAGAGGAGTGGACCAACATTCCACAGGCCACAATGAACAACCTGACCAACTCTATGCGAAGGAAATGTGTTGCACTGCATGAGGCCAATGGTGGTTACACCAGATACTGACTGGTTTCTGGATCCCCCAGACCCCTCCAGTACAGTAAAACTGCACATTTTCAAGTGGCCTTTTATTGTGGCCAGCCTAAGGCACATCGGTACAATACCAAAGTCCTTTTAGACAAGTCCTGCCACTCGGCAGCCGTCTTGGCAACACGTTGGCAGCTATTTTGGACTAACAAGACCGGGCTCCTATCTAAATGAATGGGGATAGAGAACTGCACTTATACAGGTCACCGAGACTTAAAAACTACATGAATGGAATCAGCATTAAAATCTGATAATGCTCGCTGAAAAAGTTTGACAACTTTACCCCAAAATAAGGTTTAAAAAGCGTTTTTCCCGACCAGTTATACTTCTACTACGCATGCGTCAGTGGAACCTCATGATTGGCTGAAATATGATTCCCGCTTTGGCTGTTAATAGCAGATGATTGGCTTTCTAGCAGGAGGGACGGGATGACCGCCATCTTTACCGTTACGGGCTTTCCCCATAGATTTGTATTGAGGATGTCATTGAGTGGCATGTCTCCTCTAAAATGTCTCTGACAATACCCATGCTGTCTGATCAGCATCTTGATATGCCACACCTGTGAGGTGGATGGATTATCTCGGCAAAGGAGAAGTGCTCACTAACAAAGGTTTTGACAGATTTGTGAACAATATTTGAGAGAAATAGGCCTTTTGTGTACATAGAGAAAGTCTTCGATCTTTGAGTTCAGCTCATGTAAAATGGGGGCCTAAACAAAAGTGTTGCATTTATAATTTTGTTCAGTGTGCATCAGTGAAAGACAACTGCTTTGTAAAGAGTTAAATTGAGTCACACTCTGGCCTGAGAGCCTACATAAACATATTAAATTAAAATCATCAGAGCACTGACAATGGAGGGCTGCATTTCACCTGACAGCCAGAAATGTATTAAAAGAAGAAGAGGAAGTGCAGCAGCAAATAAACAATCATTAATGTATATTTATAGGGCTCTAACGAGGTCAACAATAGATTAAGGATGCTATGTATATGGAGCAACAGCTAAAACATTTATTGAAGTTGAGTTAGTAACAAAGCATTGAGGATTTGTGCAGGTGCAATGAGATCAATACCAATTAAAGCAATCCAGGTTAAGTTAAGAGAAGTGCCCTCAGACCTGAGAAGATAAACTCATGCTTACATGCTGGAGTCGCTTACGTGGATGGTTATGAAAACCACGCAAAGAGCATTATTCAGGAATGTTGGGAGTGTACATCTTTTAAAGATAATGGCTTTGGCTGGGTAACAAAGACTAAATCAGAAGAATATAGATTAAATAATACCTGGTTTAACTCCCCTACACCTATTAGGTTATTTCAAAAAAATTAGATAGACTTAAATACATTGGATCTAAAGAGCGAATGGGAAGAGAGTGGGAAAGGACATCTGGCAAGTGAGTACATAAGGAGCAAATATTACAGTTACTTAGATATGTATACAGACGGATCTAAAGATGAAGAGGACGAGGTAGGAATAGGATATTATATACCAACAATGAATGTAAGCATTGGGAAAAGATTACCTGATCAGGCGTCACGGCAGAAATGATGGCGATTGTTGTAGGACTGCAGTGGGTAGAGGAAGTAAAGCCAGACAGAGTGGTGTGTTGTGTTGAATCCATAGCATTCAAAATATGAAATCTAGTAGAGAAGATTTAATGCTAGAAATGTGTATTTAGACTACAGAGACTACGGATAGATCTGAGATTCTGCTTGGTCTGCCCACATAGGTATAAAAGGGAATGAGGGAGCAGACAAAATAGCTAAAATATCAACCAGGACAAACAATGTCATAAATATACCCTTTGGAAAAGTAGAAGCTAAGGCGATAATCAAAAAAGAAATGATGAAGAAATGGCAGGAAAAAAGTGGAAGGAAATATTACAGTTTGCAAATATCTATTAATGCTCAGGGTGTGACTAAAAGGAACAGAAGAGAGGAGAGCGTTTTAGGGTTTTAACCAGGCGAAGGTTTGATCATAGAGGGTCAATCAGATGAATGTTTAGTAATGTAGGTCCAAGGAAAGTGTAGAACATGTACTATTCGGCTGTAGGAAATATAGGGATGAGAGGACGAGGCTAAATCAGAAGAAGTCAGGCAGGAAGGAAGTGGAACCTTTAAGTTTCATTAGGCACAACAACAGGAGATGGGGTAAAGGATGCACAGAAAGCTGTTGTACAATATCTGAAAAATATAGGGCTATATAATAGGATTTAAGTTTTTTTTTTAGGTTGTTTATTTGTTTTGTTTTTATCTATTTATTTATTTTGATATAAAGTAGTCCCAACGAACATAGTTCATGCTATATACTCCGGTACAGTAGGTGGCGGTATGCACCTTTAAATGTCATGGTTGCAATCTGCCATAAAGCAATAAAGAGGAAGAGGAAGCGCAGCGACGCACGTTAGTTCATAATAGCAACAGAGAAGCTCTCAAGTCCTCTTGTTAAATCTGCAGACCAGTCATCTGAGGAAAATGTCCAGACTGCAGAGTTTGCGGGTTTTCATCTACCAGCGGCTAACTGCGGCAGTGGAGGAGATCATTGTGCACTTGGAGAAAACAATAACCGAGTCTGAGGAGGAGATGGAGAGCCGCCATCGCAAGCTGCTGGATACAGTGTCAAATCCTGAGGAGAAGCTGCTCACAGCAGGTTTGCAAAATAACACGTTTTTTATTCACACACAGCTTCCTGGAGCCAGATGCATACGCCATTTCCCACACAGAAACAGGGAGCCTATCAAAACGAGGAAACGTGTGCATCCCACACATTCCTCGGTCTACCCTTCAGGAGAGAGCCAGACTCAGGTGTCGCTAATCAGGTCCGCATTAAGTCAACTTTGAAGGAAGAACAATTCTGCAGATTCTCCCCTTGAAAACCTAATTATTATAATGATGATGATAATGAAAGCTGCAAGCATCAAGTTCCAAGCGCATTGTGCATTTGCTGGACAGCCAGTGCTCCAGATCTGCACCAATAGCAAAGCGAGCGGGGTTTTAAATTACCTTAGGCCAGGGGTTTTTAAGTCTGAGACTATGGGGCCTCCCCTCAGACGAAGCGTGGAAAAGGCACCACCCTCACCTGCTCAATTCCTGGATGCCAGTGGGATCGTGATGATGTTGGATGATCCCATAGACACTCAACAACTGAGACAGGATAGCCTAATATTGCTGTTTGACATAACTTCAGACACCAAATGCATTACAAAAAGGTCTGTCCTGAGACATTTATTAGTTTCTGACTCTGATAAAGTGGGACAAACGGTTCCTATCTCTTCAACCAAATAACACACACACACACACACACACACACACACACACACACACAGGCTATTTTATGTGATCTCCTTTTTTGATAACTAATGTAATATTTTTTCACTTCCACTCACTGAGCCTTCCCTGAGGCCTGCCTCACATGGAAACCTCTGCCTAGGTTTTTCTGCCATTTATTTCTTACCTGCCCCCCCCCCCCCCCAACTTATTCTTCAAACTTTGTTTAAAGCAATCAGAAACAGCTTCTAGTGTACAAGTGCTGAAAGATCTGTTCCAAGCAGGAGCTGAACCACTAACCAAGTGGAAAAGGACAAAGCAGAGAGCAAGAGGCCAAGTGGCAGATTTAACACTGCAAAGCTGCATGCACTCTGCATGTCCACTGGGGAGCAGTATGACGCCATGGTGACACCATAATAGGTGCGTTTGACTTAATGCGCAATTTCTAACCAGCATGCCTTGTTTTAAGTCCAGCATGCATCATGTTAAGTCAGCGCTGCGCAGTGCCGCATTAAATCAAACCATACAGTCTATGAATCAAACGCACCTAGTGGGTCATCTTGACTGTAATTAGTCTGATCATGTCATCCCTAAATTGCAACAATTAAATAAACAGTTTCAAATTGAAGCCAGGCTGACAGGAATTATCCAATCAGTTTTGTGCATAGTTTTGTGTCATACCAAACAGACACACACACACACACAAATATAAATAGAACAAGAGGGCAGCATGTTAAATATTATACATAAAATATTAAACAATATATACTTATAAGACAAAAAAACATTTAATATGTTAAAAAATAAAATTATATTTTATATGCCATTAAAAATGTAGATGTTTCCAATAAAAACAAAGAACAAATATATTTACACCACCCAGCATCTGATGTTGTGACTTTATTTTGTTTAACCTTTTGTTATCACGAGCTAACGCCGTGTAGACCAGTTTCATTCATTGTGTTTTTGAGTTGAAACATAATTTGCTTTTCACCAAAACTGATTTGTATACAGTCTATGGTAAACCAGGAATAATTCTTTATTACTAAATATTTAACAACAGTCCAGTGCAGAAGTTTGGTGTGACCTCGTGCAAATGCCAGTGGCTGAAACTAAAGTAACAATGTCACATCCGAAATAGATTATTTTTTTCATTGTGGTTATATAACTGTAATTTATGGTGCCGTTAAATTTCTGCTAGAAAGTCCTGTTAATACAGGGGCTTCCTCCCTTTGTGTGTGCCAAGCGGGAGAGCAAACCTCAGTGGAAATGTTGTTTTTGAAACATCAATGCCAACAAATGTGGTTTGAAGCAGAATATTAGATAAAAATATGTTGTGAATTTTAGAAATAATTACATCTATCTTTTTTCAATGAATTTTGATTTTGCAATCCTACTAGCAGGGTATATTTCTTTTTGTAGTAGGTTATTTCTTGTTTCACCCTTTTAATTCTGCTACATTCTCCACCTTATTTTAGTGTTTACTTTCTAATTGAATCGGCTCTGTTTCCTTTCAGTTTTCTTTTTCCCACACTCTCACACCTCTGCTGCAAACACACCTTCATGCCCCGCCTCTTCCTGTCTCTCTCTCTCTCTGTAAGTGTCTGCTCCGCTGACCTTCTCCATCAGCAGTACGTTTTATAAAGTTGCCGAAAAGACACAAAACCCGTGCGCCACATGTGGAGGAGGCTTGTTAATGATGTAGCCTATCGAAACCAACGGGTTTTGTGTTTACTGTCGCTTTACCTGGTTCATGCTTGTAAAATATCCACTGTGTCCGCGTCTTGGAATGTAGCCTAATACCTGTTACCTGGGCGGCCCACCCGAGTAAAGTCTACATGTGGGAAACGTTAAAGTTCGGGCAGGATTTGCGTGGATTTGAAGAATTATTATACCCCTAGTGCCAGGTGCTCATCACCGTTACATAAAGGCATGCCACTTGGATTAACTAAAACTTTGTGTGTGTCTGTATTTCAGTGGTTTCTGCAGAAGTCCAGCAGCAGCTGGTGATTAAAGAAGAGGTTCCTTCTGAGCAGCAGGAGTGGAGCAATAGCCTGGAACAGGAGGACCCAGAGCACCTACACATTAAAGAGGAAAAACAGGATTTCTGTAATAGTCAGGAGGTCAGGAGCCCGCTGCAAGGACTGCATGAGGAGGACATCCCCAAGTTCCCATTCACTCATGTCCCTGTGAAGAGTGAGGATGATGAAGAGAAACCAATCTCCTCACAGCTTCATCAAAGACAAACTGAGGAGAACAGCGAGGCAGAGCTTCCAGCCAGCTGCTCAACCGAACCGATGAAAACAGAAGCAGATGGAGAGGACTGTGGAGGATCAGAACCAGACAAAAACTTAGTATCTGGTTTTAAATGTCTATCTGGATCTGATGACAATACGTCAAACTCTTCTGAAGCTATGACTGAAGACAGTGGTTGCGATTGGAAGGAGATCAGGAAACCTCAGACAGATTTAAGTACTATGAAAAATAGAGTTCCTGTAAATGACATGGGACGTAATACTGGCAATAAATTGTTTAGTTGCTCAAAATGTGGCAGAAGGTTTGGCCAGAAGCACCATTTGCAGGCACACATGAGATGTCACACCGGAGAGAGACCCTTTGGTTGCTCTCTCTGTGGTAAACGATTTGCACAGAAAGGAAATCTGACGCAACACTTGACAGTTCACACGAGGGAGAAACCCTGTAGTTGTCCTGTTTGTGGTGAGAGATTTGCACAAAAAGGAAATCTGACGCAACACATGACTGTCCACACGAGGGAAAACTTTGTTGGTGAGAGATTGACAAAAGGATTCTGAGAAGACAGAATTAAATTTCAGATTCAGTAACACAGTCACACGTCAGAAACTCAAAGTGATGGCGGCAGCAGTAAAAGAAGCGGTCGCGTTGTTGGTTCAGGAAAAGTTGTCAGCAGCAGTGAACTTATCGCTTTTTTACCATCCAACTCAGGGCTTTTGTGTATGTAGGTGAACATATTTATTTACCTACCACGATGTGAGGTGTCATCGTACCTGTACGTGGGTGGGAATGGTATGTAACACAATAGTTGTACATGTCATTTTCAACAAACGCGCACAGCAACAGGCATTCTGCAAATACATTTATGTGGAGATATCCTGGTTTCAGTATAATTTTACACACAACAAAAGATGTAAAAACTCTCAGAATGTTAATATTTTTCTACACTTTGGAGAAATGTGGTGAAATTCCTCACTGTAAATGTGCCTGGAGTCACACGCCGGCGCCTTTTTCCTCGCACGTGTGCAAGAGGTGGGTGTGTGCATAATTCATCTGGATCATGGGAGGTGGGGATTTGTCAAAATTGTGACAACTTGGTAGACTTTCATGTGACATGTGGGGTTGCGTGTTCACCTTTGGGGCCCTGTTTCAGAAATAGGTTGTGTGAAAACTCTTGAGTTCCTTAACCCTGAGATGGAGGAAACTCTGCGTTTTCCGTTCCAGGAAGAGCGGTCATTTAAACGCACTCGGAGCCTGCAGCTGTCATGGATATACATATATGGAACGCAAAGCTTCCATATGTGTAGACATTAAGGCTGTAACTGATCATTTGTCATGTTTTGATTAGTCACACTGATTGGAACATTTCTTTCATAGGTATGATGTTGCAGACAATGATGAGGATGATTGTGGTGCAGGTGAAACACCTTTAAGATCACCACTAGCTTACATTCATATTTCTATATCCACAGGATTAAAGTTGATTGAACTAACTCAGGTAAACAACTCAGTTAGTCAGTTTGTTAAACCTGCTTTCTAAAACAGGCGCCATATCTGCTAAAGGTGATGTTCATATTCAAATTTATGTTTTGTCCCCATTTCCATTGAGACAGGTGAACTCATGCTGGTCATGTGCTGTGGATCTGTTTCTGTGAGGTTAATTGTGTTTACACGCAAAGACGTGACGTACAGTGACACGTCCTCCGTAGATATTTGAAGGACTTTGGTGGGTATATTTGATTTGTCTATTTACAAGGCTGACTAGTCGTTGACCTTTCAATAAAAACGGACAGCTGGACTTGTTAAGTGAACGAGCTGCTGACCGTGATGGAAATGATTCTCAAAATCAGCAAGAAGTAGAGAATAATTCAGTATTACAGTTACAGTCTTCAGGTGAACCACTAAATATTTTACAAACTAAGAAAACATGTCAGTGTTTTATGTGGGTAATGCTGCAGTTTTGCATTTATCCAAAGGTTTAAAGATGCTTTTATGAGACTAACCGGTTGTAAAATTGTCTTGATCGATACATGTAAATAAAATCTGGTAAATTACGTTTAAAATAATGTTTTAGTGTAATTTTTTCCAGTGTTGTTTTTCTAAATGAAATTTGTTTCCATTTGTCACTTTGCATTTGTGCTGTGGGGCTTCATGTCGTTAGACTACTGGAACTGGAAGAACAATTCATGAGGAATTTGGGATCGACTACAAAGTCAAGTAAGTGTCAGTGTCAACTCTTTTAGGAAAACATGTTTTTTACTGAGTGACAGAGCATTTTAAAGGCAAAATGTGTTAGATATGGACAGAATCTTGGTTTAAAACATAACAAAATGAACTAACATGATAAACATAATGTGAAGTCGTAACCGCTCAGTTGTAGTAGCTCAGTCTATAAGGAGGGTCGCCGGTTCGAGTCCAGCTCGGACCACAGATATCGAGTGTGGACTGGTAGCTGGAGAGGCGCCAGTTCACCACCTGGGCGCTGCCAAAGGTAACTTTGAGCAAGCCCATGAACGCCCAACTGCTCTGGGCTTGCTATGACATCTCTGTCTTGTTGCACGTGTGTGCATCTCAGACTTTGTGTGTATGCTAATAACACACACACACACACACACACACACACAGTATTGGCACCTTAGCCTCTACTGTGTATGAATGCATGAGTTGGGTAAATATGATGTAGTGTAAAGCGCTTTGAGTGAGCGGAAAGACTAGAAAGGCGCTATACAATTACAGACCATTCACCATATATAATTTAGTGTGTTGTAATGACCTTTTTAATGTATTTTAATCAATGTAAAGTATTTAGTATCATGAAAAGCACTGTATAAATAAAATGTGGGTTTATTATTATCTGTTTATGTGGGTTCCTGCACATATAGGTCTGAAAGAAAAATTAGGAGATGGACAGGTTAGCAAAACAGGCTCTACAGAGAGGTGCTGTAGATTTACAAGTCCCATTAGGCAAATCAGAGATCAATGAAATAATCTGAGAGCAGAGGAATGCTAAAAGAAGGGGAAAGTTTCTGTACAATTTAAATGATAATCATTTTATTTCCTAACAGGTTGGTGAAAGTAAGAAGTCACTTTCAGCAGAAGAAGACTTGGTCATTCCAATAATTAAATTGCATGCTAAAGATAATAGGAAAACATCCAGCTGGTTTATGAGAGTTTTGCCAGGTTAAGGAGTCTGTTGCCTCTAATCATGAGTTGTAATAAGTTTGCATGAACAAGAAAGATCTCAGGAAGGCTGGAATTCATAATCTTTTATATAAAAACATAAACGAGCCCGTCGAGCGGATGAGGCAGTAGAATGCTGTTTGTGAGACAAACGGGATTAATGGGTAGGATTTAATCTCTGGTCCACACAATGATAGCAAAAAGAAAGCATTACAGCAGAAAGTGGAGGAGGAAACCGGGAAGAACAGGAGAGTACAGTGTTTGTTTAGCAGAATTAGACTGGGTCACACAAAGTTAAATGCATCTATTGGAAAACATCTCACTGGAACACGTGAGGCCTGCAATTAAATGGAAAAGATGTTCTACTTGTAAGCTCTTAATACTTAGATTGGATTCTTTATTGTCCTTTTAGCCTCGCATTTAAACAGCATGAACATACCTAACAACATAGATCAGCACATTTTATGCACAAATTGGCACCAATCAAATTTTCTTGTTACTTAGCAGATACTTTTGTTGAGCAGTACTATGGCAGAGGGAATAAAACTCCTGCTATAGAATATTTAAATGAAAGACAGGTGTTAAGGTGGAAGAGCAGGAACGTGAAGGAATTAAACAAGTGGACATTAAAAACAATTTTTTGCAAATAACTATGAGATAAGATGGTGTTGAAACCAACACACCAAACTGGACTAAGCGCAAGAATTAAACAGTAGGTGGCGATGATGCTGCGTGTGGTTGCAAGTCGGCATTAAGAAGAAGAAGAGTCTGCAGCAGGACAACTCCTCCACCACGCTTCTCTCATGCTACTTTCCCTCTCAAAATGTCCACACTGCAAACACTGAAGTCTTTTATCAACCAGCGGCTGGCTGTGGCTGTTGAGGAGATATTCGGGCTGCTGGAAACAACTATATCAAACTATGAAGAAGACATTAATCGCCAGCGCAAGCTGCTGGAAGACGAGAGGTCGGAGTTCAGAATCAACAAAGCAGGTTTGCCTAAGTTTTTAAACATTGTTCAGACTCTGCTGGTGTCAGTAAAACCACATCCCAGCCCTTTATTATTTGACAAGGTACTCCTTTTAAACTATAGTACTGAACAGCCGGAAAACAGGTTCTGCAGTGTTTGAGAAAAGGTAATTTAGCCTCCAGCTGCTGCATGGCGCCAAACTAAGTCAAGGCCGGAAGTTAAGCATTTATGGCCTTCAGAATAAAAGTGTAAAATGTGAGCAGTGTTATCGTCATAGTTAAAGAAGGGCTCCGATCTTTTTTTATACACAGTCTATGGCTCCGATGCATCATTTCCCGAAACCGAATCTGGTGTTATTTTTGAGACAAGGGCCGGAATTGTTAGTGTGGTGGTCAAATGAACTGGTGATATTCCCAGATGTGTCGTGGGCGTGGCACGAGGATCCCGCATGCTTACCAGGAAATGCGATCCCATTACTTTGCTGTGATGTTTAGAACTGAAGATGTCTTAACATTGAACATAACATTTGGTTTGATATTGCGAAGCAAGAAGGATGAACGCTGATGTAATATGATTGTATGTCTAGCTAAATTGTTTTTTGTTTTTTTTATGTACAAGTGCATAACTTAATATTTATTTTTAAACTGAATTTAAATTGTATATGAAATCCTTTCCAATTTCTAATAAACGCCTAAAGAACAAAAAAAATGATATCCTAAAACACTTTCCCAATGAAGTAAATAGCTGAACATAAACTGAATTCTCCCCTTGTATTATAATTTCTTACCACTTATTTATTTAAATTTAATGTATTTTACTTTAAGTAATTTTTATTCTTGTTACCAAAGACCTAAGGACTTATATGCAGCCATGTTTGTATATAAATTTTGTAATTTTCAAAAAAAAACCCCACAAAGTTTATGTTAAGTGAAATATTATTATATATATATATCTATAGTTACATGTAAATGAATTACATAATACATTTAACTGTAATCAGTTACAGTTACTGGGAAAAAGTATAATTAAATTAAAGTTACTTATAAAAATGTTAATGATATTGGGGGGGTTACATTTGAAATTTTTCTGTAAAATTCGGCAATATGCTGAATAATAATTTTGTTGTTTTGCATGTCACAGCTGTTTCATAAAGTTTCTGTTCTGATGCTTTTGATTTGGTTCGCATGTTTGATTTTGCAGCTTCTGAAAATGGTTAAGAGTTGAAAACATTCATTAAAACATTAAAAGTAATCAAAATTTAATTAAATGTAATAAGTTACATCACTTTGATAAAGTAATTAAAGTTATTAATTATAAATTTTAAATAGGGTAACTTGTAATCGGTAACCTATTACTAGTGTTGTAGTCAAGACCAAGACCAGTTCCCCACATTACATGACACACAGTAAAATGTGAAACGTGATCATAGGTACTTCTCAAATTGATCTGAAAAATTCACATTCCCATTAAAACACCCACATACAAATACTAAGAGCTGAAATCAATGTAAGCATCTTTATTCAACACTCCTTTTCCATGTTTACCATCGCGGGGAGGGGGGGGGCAGTCGTTAATGGGAACAACACATTTTTAATTAGGGTTATTGGTTGGATTTAAAGCAATAAGTTTTACATCCAATCACAGTTAGGATGTTAACAAATAAATCAGACAACGCAAAAGCAGTTTGATATTCCTAAACTTATGGTCTCGACCGGTCTAATATCCAGCAAAATCGATGTAAAACGTCATTCACTGCTTGTGCACTGCTGGTGTTTTCACAACAGATTAATTGAAGGAAGAAATTTTCCTTTACTTGCAGATATGCAACAAGCTATGAGATTTCGAGTCATCATCGGTAACGACATCAAGAAGATAACTTTCCAGAACGGCCTCCCCTCATCTGTGGAGGACTTGATTAAAGTGTTTCAACAAGCTTTTTCCATCACCACAAACATAGGTCTTCATCACAAGGATGCCGACTTTGATGACTTCTTCACACTAACGTCTACAAGTGATCTGAAGGACAAAGACACACTCAAAGTAGTGCACATGCCACCAAGCATAATAATGACCACGGTGCCTCAGGAACGCAATTTTGACACATCTGACCTGTCGTCGGTAGATGATCTGCTCTCTGTGGATTCACAAGACAATCTGATTCCCAGTCCCCCTGACACTGAGAGGCAGAGCCTGTGGCCTGCTGTCTTTCCCATACCAACCTTCTCCTACAACACTGAGATGGCTTTGAGGCAAGGCAATGAGAAGTTTCTAAAAGATGGAAGCCCACTGACATTACCAAGTGTCAAAACTGACATTTTAGAGCGCCTGGCAGAGGCCATGTTTTCCTACACGGCTTATCCTAATGAGCCACAGAGGGCCGCAGTTGCACAGGCACTCATAGAGAAGCATCCCTGCTTGAGGGAGCCTGGATCTTTTAACGGATGTTACGGGTGGCAGCAAAGCCTGAAGTACAAATGTGCAAACTACCGGAGCAAACTTAAAGCACACGGAAAACCCGAACTGCTGATAAATACACTGAAACACAAGCAGGAAGGTGACAGAAAACCTCACAAAAATGTCAAGAAACCAAGGAAAGCGGAGGTGAACTACCTGCCCTCAAACCCGGCCGGTGAGACAGATGACAGCCTGGAGAATGTGAGACTTGAGCTCATTGCAGCTAGCAAGACAAACGACAATGACCAAATGATAAATACCATGATGTCCAAAACATACAGCTGTAGAAGAAGGGAAGTGGTCGGCCAGTCCATGCAGGCGGCAGAACTCAAAGAGAGATGGCCCGCCCTCTTTGATCCGTTACAGGTAAATACACTGGTCCTCTTGTCAAACAAGGAAATGCAGATAATTTACAATCTGTGCATACAATTAGTTCTTACTGCAGAAGGATTGGATTAGTCTTCATAATTAATAATCATTGACAAAGTCCTGTCGTACAGATAAATGAGGAGTTTCGGAGGTGCAACACTATCCCGCTGGAGTCAACGTTTATGTCCCAGCTGGACAGGTACACGCCAAAGTTCCTGGAATTATTCAGCGCAAAGGGAGGAGCTGCTGGACAGCGCATGAAAACTGTGTTGATCGACCTGACAAAGGTAAGATCAAGGTGTTAAAAAAGTTAACAAGGACAAATAAGTAATTCAGCTAGAGAAATATGATGCATGTAGAATAGAAATGTAGAATTTTACAGTCTTTGGGGAAAATGAGCTGAAAGAGTGGAACAAAGCTCTTGTTAAAAAGTGACACAAACAAGGAGGTTTAGATTGGGATGGAGTTTCCTGAGGAGAAGTTTTTATTAATGATCCCGGGATTAACTGTAGGACCCACAAGCCTCAGTGGTGAAGAAGAGGGACGTGACTCTGAGGTGCCTCATCGAGTACATGGGGGAGAGTGTGGAAGAGCTCATCTCTGACTACTATGTAAGTATTGTCTAATTTCTGTATTTTTAGTATTAACAGCTGCAGGCGTCCGACACACTACGCTTGTTATTTAGTGAGCTTCAAATGAGGCTTATCGTTCACACAGTTTCTCTACATTGTCCCTCAGTATTATGTTACAACTTTACTCCAGCATCACAAAGCCTAGACACATTAGCTGCACAATATGCTAAAGAAAAGTTAACAAAATAAACAGTAAAACAACATACAACACGCTAACACTTACAGCTTTCAAATCTGATGTTGGGTCAGGGACAGCCCATGGTGATCCGTCCTTGAAACGTTACGGCCCTAGTTATGCTTGTGCAATTTTTCAAAGCACTAATTTATTTATTTTACACGCACTGAGGTGTAAAGAAAGTATGAACATAGCAGTTGTTGCGGTTGCTTGCCATACTCTGCTGTTGGCTTGACAGTCCTGAGAGAACCCTAAAATGTTGAATAAATCTGGGAAATATTGTGAAAAGATAATTTGAACAAACTGAGTATAATATTTAAATGAACCAGCAATTTGCGAAATTGTTGAAGAAATTATTCAAACTCAACTCACTGTCATATTTTCATAAAATCAATTTATTTTACTGGATTGATTGATATTTGATCAATAAATAATTAAAATTTCATTTTAGACATTTTATTTCATGACCACAGAATTTATTTCATAATTATTTATTTATTCAGCATTGAACACTTTGGAGCTCCATCAATTAAGTGTTTTATGAAGATACATGAATGAGGAAGGATATAAGAAGTAAATGTTCTTCTTCTAGACATGCATATTAACCAAGTCCAGCCTTTGTCAAACTATGCAATTAAAATAAAATGGAATGGAATTAAATAAGGATAACAAAGTGTGGGGTTTGTGTAAGTCTTATAGTCCCCAATTGGAATTAAAAAAGTCAGCTGACCTTGTCAAAACAGACTTCAAGTGACCATTATGCATGTAACTCCTACGAGGTCAACAGTTTTTAAAGGCACTGTAGTTGCACAGCCGTTACATTAATCAATAATGCAATTTGACATTTTCCCTAAATGGTCCAGCCTAATGGATTCATAAAGTGCAGCCTGCAAGTAGTGGGATAGTGAAACCGTTTGATTCATTTTGGCTTATTACTACCCTCAATATATTAGATCTGAATTCAAATTGTGATCAAGCTTTCAAATGTTTTAGTCCAATAACATGAATTCTTTTGAAATTCCATTTATACTTTAATCAAATTGTGGAAACAACTATTTGCATGTGTTTCAGAGAACAGCGGAGGATAAAGTGCACCAGGACCTTAAAACGCAGAGCATGAGGATCTACGTCTGTAACAAGCCAGACGCTGTGGGAATCATCATTGATGGAACTCCGGTGCTGACGGGGCTGGACAACATGTCCAGAGCCTGCTGCCTTCTCCTCGGCCTGATCTACGCCCTAAATCTGGATTATCCTCACAAACTTGCCAAAACATTTGAAGTCTTTCAAAGACTGTTTGTAGGACTTGATACGCTGCAGCCAAAACCAACATCCAAGTACATCAGTCTGAAAAACAAACTCCTTACCTAAGCAATTGCTCCGAGACGTTTGACTCTACTCATACAAAAGCTGTTTTGTTAGTGTGTTACATTTAGGAGCAGTAATGTTTTCTGGTTAATGAAAGAAACAATAAGCATTAAGTGTCTTTGGGCTGTCACCTTTTCCAAAAATCAAGTTTGTTTTGCATTTGACTAATTGAGTAAGATTGCTGCTGTAGAACCCCAAATACTTCCACTGACTGCCTCGGTGTTGTGATTGTCAACTCGGGGTGGCATAGCTTGCTAGTGTCCTCCATTTTTGTAGTAAACAACATAACATTACTAGCTTAGCTTACTGATAGGTCAGCCGGTTCTTATTCCCAGGGCTGTTGTCACGCATTTTGGCATCTGGCACCAACGCACATAGCAGCCTTTAGCGTCATCGTTCAGTGCACTGGGGAAAGCCCTTATTTGTCGTTTGAGTGGATGAGTGGGTCGGAAACTGGACTTGCACCAGGGAGACCAGGTGATTCTTTTTAGTCATGTTGCATAACATTACTTAACTTACGTAAGTCACGTAACAGTTATTTTAACCCAAACTATGTTTTTCCTAATACTAGCCAAGTAGTTTTGGTGCCTAAACCTAATCAAATTGTGGCATTTTACAATATTAACCACTATTTAATTTAAAAGTGTAACTGGATGTTTCATATTTCTTCTTGCTAACTTGACTACAGAGCACCAAAAGCAGCAAAAATGACACTAAAGGGTACACAGGGCGTCAAACTACTTCAAATGGTATTGCGCTTAGACACTGTGAATCTTGAATGGCCATTACAGTTCGAATATTAACTGAGGCCACTTTATTTTAATTTATTTTAAATTAAAAGTGACAGCCCTAGTATTGAGGTGACTGTAAAGGCCGTAGCATTATATTGATTTTCAAACCGTTCAGTGAGCACAGGTGCATGGAAGCATCTGCATTTGAGGTTTCTCCTTTTATTTGGCCCCCCTCTGTGTGTATGTTTACACACACACACACAGTGTGTTGTATAAGCTGTATAAGTTTTCAAGCATGCTGTATTTTCATACATCTGCTGTAGGTTTAAGTATTTTATTTACATGTAGCTAAATTGTTATATGAATATTTCTGAGGAAAAGGAAAAAAAAGACTGCTTTTATACATTTTATAAACTGACAGTTTAGCATGTGATGAGAATGTTCGGAATTAGTACTGAACTTCAAACAGTCTAAGAAAAATTGTGAAAATGTCAATGTTGAGACAGAATATTTTATAATTTTTATTTTTTCAGTTTCATGAAAATTAAAGCTTTGATTTGGATATAAATTCAATGGATACATAATTTTAATTGCCTGGTGTTAGAAACCAATTTGAATAGAGCAAATTCTATTATACAGTTTCTTTGAATGTATGAATGAAAGCTGCATTTCTTAAATTGAAATCTCTGGGCTAAAAACAATCCAAAGGTTCCATAGAGCTGCAGAGTTGGTGATGATTAGTAATTAGTGCGGCTTTAAAGAGTCAGCAAATGACGTTCATCAGACTTGATTAAATTGAGTATTTGAGGGAGAGTAAAATGATAAAGAAACTACATTTTCAGAAAGAAGAAAAAAACATCTATAGAACCTACAGTAACGTCTGTAGTCGTTTTTGAATGGGAGTTAATTTCCACCTCAGAAAAGATCAATTGGATGTGATGTCACAAAATGGAAAGTGACCAAGCCAGGTCCAGTGTAAAATAATAAATATGAATCCCAATGCTAGTTCTGTCACTGAAGAGCTTGAGAAGTTGTATTCATATGACAAACTGGAGTCAATATTAAAACTAACAACTAAAGTTTGTTGCCCATATTTACATCTCACTACAAACTTTCTAAATTATGTTAATAAGGCTAACTGTTGATATTGTTTCCGTGTCCCCGGTCTGTACCGTTTCACAGCTTACAGACAGGTTGTCCACTGAGCCTATTGCATTCTGGTTAAACAGATTAGAAAACCTTGACCCGTGCGTGTTGTTTCTGCCAAGGAAGACTTTACAAAAGGTTTTGAATTAATTTGGATGCCCATATACAGTGAATAGAAAAAGTCTACACACCCCTGTTAAAATGCCAGGTTCTTATGATGTAAAATAATGAGACAAAGATAAATCATGTCAAAACTCTTCTTTGCAAAAGTGCTCCAAATCTGTCAGATTGCGAGGACGTCGCCTGTGCCCAGCCCTCTTCAGATCACCCCACAGATGTTCAGTTGGATTCAGGTCTGGGCTCTGGCTTGGCCATTCCAAAACATTAATCTTCTTCTGGTGAAGCCATGCCTTTGGATGTGTGCTTTGGGTCATTGTCGTGCTGAAAGGTGAACTACCTCTTCATCTTAAGCTTTCTAACCAACGCATGAAGGTTTTGTGCCAAAACTGTCTGGTATTTGGAACTGTTCATAATTCCCTCCACCCTGACTAAGGCCCCAGTTCCAGCTGAAGAAAAACAGTCCCAAAGCATGATGCTGCCACCACCATGCTTCACTGTGGCTATTCTGTTCCTTGGGTGATGTGCAGTGTTGTTTTTGCACCAGACATACCTTTTGGAATTAAAAGTTGTTACTTGGTTTCGACCATAACACATTTTCCCACATGCTTTTGGGGGACTTGATGTTTGTTTTTGCAAACTTCAGCTGTGCTTGGATGTTTTTCTGTGAAGAAAAGGCTTCTGTCTTGCCACCCTACCCCCATTCATATGAAGAATACAGGAGATAGTTGTCACATGTACCACACAGCCAGTACTTGCCAGAAATTCCTGCAGTTCCTTTAATGTTGCTGTAGGCCTCTTGGAAGCCTCCCTGACCAGTTTTCTTTTCATCTTTTCATCAATTTTGGAGGGACGTCCAGTTCTTGGTAAAGTCACAGTTGTGTCATATTTTCTCCACTTGATGATGACTGTCTTCACTGTGTTCCATGGTATATTTAATGCTTTGGAAATTCTTTTGTAGCCGTCTCCTGACTTATGTCTTTCAACAATAAGATCTCTCTGATGCTTTGAAAACTCTCTGCAGACCATGGCTTTTGCTCAGAGATGCAACTAAGAAAATATCATGAAAATCCTACTAGAACAGCTGAACTTTATTTGTGATTAATCAGAGTCACTTTAAATGATGGCAGGTGTGTAATGACTTCTAGTTAACCTGAGTTTGAATGTGATTGGTTAATTCTGAACACAACCACATCCACAGTTATAAGATATTTTTCATTTCATTTTTCCCCCTCGAAGATTTCAGTTTGTTTTTCTATTGAATTGTTCACATTATAGTTCACATTAAAGGTGGAAAAAGTTCTGACATGATTTATCTTTGTCTCATTATTTTACATCATAAGAACCTGGCATTTTAACAGGGGTGTGTAGACTTTTTCTGTCCACTGTAATTAATCATGAGATGGTGAAGGTGTTCATAGAGATATTCTGCAATTCATATAATTAATATGTCTCTTGTATTGGCTGCCAAATCTTAGACTGTGCAGTTGCTAAAGACAATACTCCCTGCACAAGCTAAAAGAAAGCTAATTTGTTCCCCTCAACATTAAACCAAAAGCAATGAATGTACAGTGTTGATCAACACATCTGGATGGATGATTGTCTGTCGTGTTTTACGCTGTCACTTTTGTTTGGAAAACTGGTCTTTTTTAATTTATCACTGAACTGTGTCCCTATTAACCAAGCATGAATGCCTCTGAATGGAATGAGAGTGCAGTGAGTACAGTACTAGTCCTTATAGAGTACACATTTTTATTCTTCTGACAAAGGCCTTGTGCATGTATGTAAACCAAGATCTAACCTCTACGTCTGAAAAGTGAAGCCAATGTGGAAGTGCCTTAAACCTGCATTCTTTCACTGGTTGCAAAAAGAAGTCTGATTGCATAGAAGCCTATGATAAAAAGACCCTACTTCTCACTTGATGTATTACCTCAGGAGACATTTTCCAAATGGGTTTACGGTCTCAATCTCTAGTTTCAAGTCTTCTTCAATACAGCATCATTTTCAATGTGTTAATTATGTTCCCATTCCAAGTAAAATAAACGGTAAAACAGGGTATGCTTTTGGGCGTGGCTACCTTTTGATTGACAAGTCACAACCACAGCGACGTGTCAGTCAGGATAGACGCATAAAAAAGTCTTCTTCAGTGTTCAGTTGTAGTAAAAGAGACACGAAAGAGCTGCAATTGCAATTTTTTCCCTTGCAAGTGCATTTTGTTTTAAGCTTGTTTTTCGCTAGCCAAAATTAGCATCCAAATTAGTATCTCAGTTTACGTGAATTATGACCAGTGCTAACCTAGCTAGTAAGATAATAATAATAATAATAATAATAATCCTTATTTGTAGAGCACTTTTCAAAAACAAGTTACAAAGTGCTTTAACAAGTGTAAAGAATAATACAAAAAAAAGATAAGAGCATGAAAATTTAATATAAAATTAGTAAAATACAATAAAATAAAAGGGATAAAATAAAGTCAAATAAGATCGGGAAAAGCTCTCCTATAAAAGTATGTTTTAAGAAGGGACTTAAAAGAGTTCACTGACTCAGCCGACCTGATTTCCTCGGGCAGGCTGTTCCAGAGCCTCGGGGCCCTGACAGCAAACGCTCTGTCCCCTTTAGTTTTCAGTCGAGTCTACCCTCTTGTCCGAATATGGTCACTTCTGATTCCAATAAAACAAGAGGGCGACAGCCAAAATCGAGGTTTCAAAATGGTAGTTTAAAGCCCATAGGCCTCAGTGAAGAGGTGTGTTTTAAGCTGGTTTTTAAAGGTAATTAGAGAGGAGGCAGAGTGGATGGCAAGAGGAAGCTTGTTCCAGAAGGTGCACCAACACAGAAGGCTCTGTCACCAAATGTCCAGAGCCTGGAATTAGAGCAGTTCCTTGTCAGAGGACCACAGGGACCGTGGCTGAGTGTAGGGATGGAGTTTATCTGTGAGGTACTGAGGTGCAAGTCCATGGAGAGATTTGTGGAAGGGGAGTTAGAGGTTTAGTGCTGATGTAGAGCTGGGTGTCATCAGCATAGCAGTGGAAGTGTAGTCCATGTTTCCGGATGATCATGCCAAGAGGTAGCATGTAGATATTAAATAGTAGTGGGCCAAGCACTGATCCTTGAGGCACGCCAGACTGTGAGACTGGGGCCAATTCAGAGCAGATGCCCTTAAGGGTGATATATTGTTGCCTGTGGATGAGATAGGATTGAAACCAAGAATACACAGTACCAGTGAGGCCAATGAGTTCGGAGAGGCGAGTGAGAAGAATAGAGTGTGTCGAAGGCTGCAGAGAGGTCGAGAAGAATTAAGATGCTGACATGGCCAGTCAGCTGCCATGAGAAGGTCATTTGTGATGTTAATGAGAGCAGTTTCTGTGCTATGATGTGTCCTGAAACCAGATTAAAATGGCTTGTAGAGGTTGTGATGTAGCATATGGTGGTTGAGTTGGGCAGCCACAGCTCTTTCCAATAACTTGCGTATGAAAGGTAGGTTGGAGTTTGGGTGGGAGTGGTTTGGATCATCTGGGCCCAGGCCAGGTTTTTAAAGTGTAGGGACCACCACAGTAGACAGTGAGGTGTTGATGATGTTGACCAGTGTATTGGGTGGGAGGAGCTGGAAAGCTGCAGTTGCTGGTGGATGGTTCCGACCTTTTTCTGTAAGTATTCCAGGAACCTAGAGCATAGGCCAGCAGCGTCAGATGGTTGAGGGTCAGGTGGGCAGAGTAGGCAGGTGATAGTGGAAAAAAGCTGTTTAGGTTGATGTTGTTGGTTGCCAATGACTTTAGAGTAATAGTTAGTGTTTGCCCTAGACAGAGAATTTTTGTAGCTTTTAACATTGTCATTATAGGCTTCCTGGTGGACAGTGAGGCCAGATTTTTTATAGTACCTCTCCAGCCTCCACCCTGTCCAGACTACTTGACATGGCCAGGTTGTAGTGATTAACCAAGTCATCAACTGTGCAGTTTGGGGGATAACTGGTAAGATGGCCTGCAAGAGTACTGGATAGTTTAGGTATACACACTTGTTTGATGTTTCGATATGTAATGGTCCTTTTCACATACTTCCTGTGTGTGCGCACAGAAACAGAGAACGTGACAGCAAGGTGATGGAAATCCAGAAATAGCCAGGTTAACAGTCTGTAGATGGGTGGGGGTTGTACCTGTGGAGCGTACCAGGCCCAGTGTATGACTTTAGCAGGTGTGGGGCCGTTAACATGTTGTGTGAAATTAAAGTAGTCCAGTAGTGACAAAAATTCTGCAGCGTAAACATCACTGGAATCAACATGGATGTTAAAGTCGCCAAGTAGGATGGTAGCTGGAGAGGTGGGGCAAATCAGAGCAAGAAGGTCAGAAAGCTCAGGCAGGAAACTTGCAGAAGCCTTAGGTGGGCGATAGACGAGGACCACTTGTAGCTGTAAAGACCCAGACAGAGCAAAGTGTATGCACTCAATGAAGAGGCGTGAACTGGAAATTCTTTTATCTGGATGTCCGCAGAATGTATGACAGCTAGTCAAGGTTTGGAAATAGCCGACCACTCTGCAAGGTAGCGTAGCAGCTGGAAAAAGCCACTGGTTTAGCAGATGCCGTAGTGTAACCAGAGCCCACTGAGAAAAGTTGGGGAGTGTGAGAAAATGAATCCAACTAATAGCATAACGTTGAAAACCAGCTTAGTGAAGCAGCAGGGGTAGAATCACAGAGTAGCTGAAGTTGTTTGTGAGCATGTGAAGCAGCGACAGACACGCCGGCGTCCTCTCACACACACTGATCATAATCTCTTATATGATGTAAACATGTTGAATAAATGAAGAACGCTCTTCCAGAAAGTCAGCTAATGTTACCAAGTTGATGTATTTTTTACATTTATGATGTAAAAACAATGTTTATTGACAAAAAAGATAAACATTACCTTCTATATGATACAGATGTACCCTACTGAATTTTTGCTGGATGCAGGAGACCTGCTCTATATGATATTTCCAGTAGTCACAATATTCTGTTTTCAGAAAGGCATGTTTACAGATGTGCTAATCATGTTAGCATGTGTTATTCAGTTCAGTGACCTAAACAGAAATGATCTCTGGCGTGATGAAATAATAAAAAGCTGTTACAACTCTTACAAGTACAAAAACGTAAGGGCATGGTGATGAAAAAGAAATATAGGTTCATATTTAAAGGTACAATGTGTAATTCCCGGCCACTAAGACATTCTGCCCCTCCGCTATTTTTTAATCACCAGTAACGATCGAGCTGATCTGTATAATAACCTCTTGAATTAAGTTTTTTATTTTTGAAACTCGAGCATAACAGCGGAGAGAGAGAGAAATATCAGAGAAAAAGACAGAAAAAAAAGGATTGGCAAGCATGGTATGCATTTTTTTATCAGAATCAGATCATTTATAATAGATTATCTTAGCGGCACTTCCGCCTCCTGTGTTTCTGGACAATGATGATTTCACGCCAGTCTGTCCAGTCAGAGACGGGGAAGATCAAGTGGTGGTGGGAGACAAAAAAGCAGAAGAACGAGAGGTCGGGGAGTGCGAGCGAGAGCGAGAGGATCTCTTACAGCATCACTGATTGACAAGCGCTTAGGGCACTTCTCCATCCTCTCATGTTGGGCTGAGGGCAAACTGGATGCTACAGTGACTCACTATCACCTCTCGAGGCACAAAATGGTATTACAAGACAGGACGGGTATGGCTAGCAGGTTAGCATGCTAATTTAAGTACATAATCTCTGCAACGCAATTCATTTGACATCACGTCAGAACTGTTACTTTACATTTTGTTCATAGCTATTTTGTTATGTTTTGAATGAATATCTTACACATTGCACCTTTAAATAAGAAGATCCAAGGTTTATGATTATCAAAATCTGGAGCGTTCCCATTTAACATTGGCAAAGTTGTTGTATCTTGTCTGCCAGTTTTAAGCAGTGTAGGATCCTGATTTTCTCTCTCTGGAGCTCCTCTGGACTGACTTGGCCCACCAGCTTGGCAGCGAAGTGGATCATGTCCTGCATGAAGAGGCCCACAGCTCCTCTGGGTGCAGGAGGGATCTGGGTCAGGGTGCAGGAGTCAAAGCGAAAGTTTATGTTCTTAGCCCTGGGGCGGCCCGGTCCCCGTTCCTCAATCCATGTCAGAGGTCTAGAAGGACACAGATGTTTATTAATGTTTAGATGGCCCTGTAATTTACCTGCCTCCACCCCTGTAACAGCAGAGGCTGGCTACAACATTGGGGTTTAAACATGTTAATCTGGCTACTGCTCAATGACTGATCGTGAACTTTGCTATTTTAAGTAAAATGCTAAACAAGACTACAAAGACCTTTCTAGTTAGGGGTGTAGCTAAATTTGCAATGTTAAATTTTAAACAGGTCAGAGTGGGATTCAAGAGGCCAGTATACTTTGACAGTGCTTGCTGGGTAGTTGAACAGCACTTAATAATGTGTATTTATTAAACTGACAACTAACATTCTGATTTCAGAAAACATTACTTCAGCCTGTAACTGGACTAAAGTTGTACGAACCTGAAACCTGAAACCTCAAGACACTTCTGACAGAAACTCTGCTATTTAAAACAAAGTTTCAGTCAATCCATCACATTGTTATTTTGAAACATTATCCACATGGAAACCATATCTGCAGTGATATCCTGTAACAAGTGTGGATAGTCCCTCTCCTCTCTGCTTCTGTCGCTTTCTGCCGGTGTTTCTGGCTCTGGGGCTGTAGTGTCTGGATCTGTGGTTGTGGCCTTTATGCTGCCCCCCATGTTCCTGCTCGACACCCGCAGCTACAATTATCATTAGTCCTATTATTATTATTATCATTACTAGATATATTATTCATTTTAATTGATAAATTAATCCACTACCACCATTATCACTATTTTACATCTCTATGTGGAATTTCCGGTGGGGGTACTGCGTTCTCCTTTTCCTTGCCACAATCGCCAAGTGCTTGCTCATGGTGGGAACTGTGAGTTTCTGTTAATAATATTAGTACAGCTTAGACCTGCGCTATATGAAACTAGAAATAAGATAAAATGCACCAATTCCTCCTGTTCAAGTAACATCAATGGCCAGCTGTTTTAGGAAATTACTTAATATTTAGCTATGTAACTATATTTGTAACTGTTTGAATTGGAATCAATGGACTAGGGACTGAGAGGCACAGACAGGGTAGAGAAGTCAGACATTATTGAGGGATGGCCTAATACATTTTTTAGTTTTAGTATTTTCATGGGTAGACATACAGGCAGATGGATGTGTCCTCCCTCACCTGTTGTCAGATGTCAGCAGCTTTGCAGTCATCTTGCTGTAGTTTTTACCAGAGTCCTCCTCTAAGGTTGCTGCAGTTACTGACAGCTCACCAAACAACTCAACCAACCAGGTGAGGCGAGCAATACCACTGAATGCTTGGAAACCAAATCCAGGCTTCAGAGGTCCACCTTGAACAAATGAACAATACACAGTCATTTAAAATGTACATTTCTTTACAGACATTTAGCTTGAGTTGAACATGAGAGGAAAGTTTTGGATAAAACACATAGTCTCTTACCAGTAAAATGCAGAGTACCTTCCTGCAGGATTTTTCCCTCTACCTCCTTCTTCAGTCCTTTGAAGTCTTCTGTCAGCAGCTCGATGTGTTCCTCATGGAGAATCAATCCTGACACACACACAAACACACACACACACGTTTACTGAGATAGTAGATTGAGATGCACATACTGCTAGTGTGTTTTTGCAAAAGTGTCACCCAGAGCTGATTGTAGGAACCAAGCACTGATCTGAGGATGTAGAAGTCATTTGGTGCAATCAGGAACAGTGAAACTTCACCCCAGACATGCTCCTCATAGTGACAGATGGTCATTACCCCAAACCATGTTATCAATAGTAGTGTTACTTTCATCAGACCAAACTAAATTAAATTTATTTGTCAATGACAAAAAAATGAGATGATGATGAGACGGCGACAATGTCCTTAAACACTGACTGTGACTATACTAACATGCAATTTCAAATACAGTGAAGCAGACAAAAAGAAATTGTGAGTGCCTAATTATATCGGATGGCAATTAATGTGGTAATAAGATTTTTGGAAAAAACACTACGAATTTGAAGCAGCATATCAAGGCTAACCACCCGGGAACTGAAAAAAGTTAACGTCTCCTTTGTAATAACAATTACAACAAAGCTAACGTTCCCATTTTAATAAACATTTTATCTATATGTGAGATGAGTGAAATAAAGTAAAATGATAAATATCTCTATTTTGGTTAGAGCAGTTTGACCAAAATGTTAATCAAAATTATACTAATAAGTTAGAAAAGACTAAAATGATGGTTAATGACTAAAATCAGACTAAAATACCCAGACTTTTAGTCAACTAAAACTTGATTAAAAAATAGTATACAGTGGACTGAATATGACAAAAATTAACAAGGAAATTTGACACAGGACTAAGTAAATATTAAAATGGCAGACAAAATGAACACTAATCAAAAGTACTGATTATTATGATGTATCTGAAACAAATTAATTTCCTTCCACTGCTAAGGAGGCGTCTTACTGCTTAATAACTGCACTGAAACTCACCGATGGTCTCTTTGAAAGCATTTCTCTGAACTTTCCCTCCTGACCTGCACATTGAACATACATGTGGGTACTTACACATTGTTATAAATTAGTCTCACCTTTTTCCTGGGCAAAATCCCAGAGCTCCACAGCAGCATTGTAGTTCATGGTCATGGGATACTCAACACAGACGTGTTTCCCTGCCTGTAGAAAAGTTCTGATGAGAAAGGAGGAGGGAGTTTTCTGATTAGAAACTCTTATTGTTGTGCATTCTGTTTCTCCATGGGATGTTACATATGACATATTACCTGATAAAGTTACACACACTGCCTATTTATACATCCAGCAGGCACACAGCAACACCAGCATTCATTTGGAGGTGTTTATCTGGCCACCTGACTAATGTCAGTCCAATATTCACTCTCTTTTAGCTCTGGTTTGGTCTCCACCATCTCTTGAGGGAAATATCCGACTCTGACTGAGATGCTAAGTGCTCCACTATGCTCACCAGCTTGTCTGTTACTTTCTCTGCCTGCTATTTGCTGCTGAGCAGGTAGTGTACATTGGTTTTATCTGTGTATTTTCACTGAAAACAACTGCCTGCTGCTGCTGGAAACCAGATGGGTGTTTCATGTAGGTGGCTGAGAAAAGCAGGGCTGATTGTCTTGAATTAACCTAACAGGAACGGTCTGTTTCATAAAGCTGTGTTGTGAGCAGACTAATTAAAGTCTGATTTGTTTCACGGAAGAAAAAACAGGTCTCTTCAATTTAAGTCAATACAAAACATGTAAAATCAAAGCTGTGTGGCAGGACAACTTTCTTTACTTACTAAGCAGTGAGCTCATTACTGCCACTGGTGGCCAGAAGGTGGCCTACCAGCTACCAGTGTACGCTCAGTGACTGAGTTGAGTTTAGTCAGTGGCCCAACACCTTTCTAAGATACTTTCAGTTGATTTTGCCTTTTATTTTGTATTCATTGATTGATTGATTAATTCAGTGCAACACGGCTCAAGTGCAGAGACTTTTTTGCAGTTATTTGTCTCACACATTACCTGATGTTATCCTCATGCAACATATTCTCAGTGCAGATGAATGCCACATGAATATCGTCTCTGCTCACGGCCTCTTCTACTGAGATCTGACTCACTTCCTGAGTGTCCAGGCTTCTCCTGTTGACAAAAACATCTGTCAAGATGATATTGATGAGAATGAAAAGAAATTGTCAAACGAGACTGTAAACTATACAAAATGGAAACGTATACTCAGTTGGCGGTTTATTAGGTCCACCTAGCTAAAAGTAGTACAGTCTAATCCGTCACTCCACCACTCTGTCATTGTGGCTATTTGTAGCACCCATACCTCTAATTAATCGCATGTGCCTGTAAACCGTTATTGCAGTGTCGTATACATAAATTTATGAATGCGCCTTTGATTGACATATTTCATGTCCACCTCATCATTTCACCTGCAGCTATCTAGCCAGCTGTATAGTGTTCCCCACAGATAGACCTTCCTTGGGCGGGCGGCCCAGGTATATTTGGCAATCCATTTTAGCATTTTGCAGAGAAACACAGAGATATGTTATCTGGTATTATGTTACAAGACGCAGACACAGTGGATATTTTACAAGGACCAGGACCAGGAAGCAACAGTAAACAATGAACAAACCAGTCCAGGGCCCTGTTTCAGAAAGTGGGTTTAGTGAAAACCCTGAGTAAGTTAAGCCTGAGATGAGGGTCTTCTTCCAAGTTCAGATAAACTCTAGATCAGTAACCCCAGCAACTTACGCTGTGAACCTAACCTCCTCAGGAGGAGGTTTACTTCATACAACATATGCTGAGTTTCTCTCTGACTCCTCCTGCAGAGCCTGAAGTGGCAGTCTGACATTTCCTCATTCATACTGTCCATATCAAAGCACATATCTGAACGCAATTACGTCTTTAGAAACTTGGAGATCCCGGTTAGAAAGGCTATTTGTTTTTTTTAACCAAACATGACAGCTTTTATGATCAATCTGTCATCGATGTATGGACAGAGAGCTATCTTTTGACATTGTGGATTTATCCTCAGCACAGAATAAAATCTATAAGCTACACTGTCCTTCTTTATAACACAGAGACTCTGTGGACATTAAGGCAGCTGTCAGGTTGGCAACATTTGCACAAAAACACTTACCGTGAGCTACATTACTGCAATAATCACTGTTTAAACTAATCTGTATAAAACTGATCAATGAACAGTATCTTTCATATTGTAGTCGCACTGATTGGAACATTTCTATCGTAGTTATCAACTGGATATGATGTGAATATTTCTGAGTGAGGATGACTGTGGTGCAGCTGAAACAAACAGGCCTAAAATAAGTTTAAAAGTGAGTTTTTCATTATTAGCTGCTGATAGTCTGAATGTGTTTTGACAGAATTTCATAAAATACGAAATCAGTAAGATCATGTATCAATGTCTAAAACGTTTTGAACCTATAGACACATTTTCCACTGCAAAAAATCATTATTGGGCTAACCTACTGGTTTCAATCACAGGTCCATGAGTAGGTCTAATCTGTTCGATTAATATTTTCATCTTCAGTTATGGTGAATCGTAGTATCGGAGCTTTTTTTTCATCCACACGCTTCCATCAGGATCAACATACTCTGAGATGACTGAACTGATTCTGATCAGCTTTTCTGGAAACAAAAGTTTCACATCTCAGGCTCAGTCAACTCAGAGCTCAGGGATAAGCTCAGAGTTTGTTGAACCTGCTTTCTGAAACGGGACCCAGATGTCATTCAGTACTGTTTTGAAAACGAAGCGTGGGTGGAAAATTCCAAAAGACTTTTCTGTGAAAGTTCTGTGTCTTTTTGGCAACTTCATAAAACATGCAGATCAAACACATACAGGAAAAGAGAGACAGAAAAGGCAGGGCAATCAGGTGTGTTTGCAATTAGAGACCAGAAGTGTAGGTGTGTGTGTGAGTGTGGAAGACAGAACTGAAGGGTAAAGCCAGGTGAGCAGTTTCAAGTAGTGAGAAAACACTTACACAGCAGCCGCTGCCGCTGTCATTCTGTGAGAAACACTGATGTACAATGTAAAAGTGCAGACTGACAAAATCTGTGTTCACTCAGGGGTATGACTATGACTGAGTCATCAAAGTTGAGTAAATCTTCCTTTCTTGAACATTTGATTGTTTTGAGAGAAGCTGATTCAGCTTTATGATCTTTTTAGAGACTGTAGTTTGTGCTGCTGTTACACTGCTATCCATGCCACATGACTTTATTCGTTAACAGTCCAGTTAAAGCTGCAGTAGGGAATTATTTTAGAACTAACTTTTTAGATAGATAGATACTTCGGAGGAAATTATAATTTGTTACAGTAGCAGCAACCACATTCAGTCCACACACACACACACACACACACACACACGCAACACGATCTATATAGTTGATTTGTAAAATAAGAAGCTAAGAAGCTAAAGAAGCTAAAATATGCTGGAGTCCTAAAAACGAGAAGAATAAAAGAAGCCCAATCGCAAAAGTTAATTCACTACAAGGACAAGTATCCTATCAAAACATTTCTAAACAAAAATCAGGGTACAATGAATTACCCGGACAGTTATTTACTATTTAGGATCTTCCGAAACACCTCTACGGTGTGAAGTGGGTGCGAGGGAGAGACTTATGCAAAGTTTTGCATTGTATGTTCAATGTTTACCGACTGCAGCTTTAAGGGCTGAACTGTGACTACTCACAGTGGATTTCTGTTATTCTCATGTTGGGACTGGCCACACACACACATCAAAAAGTATTCCTATTCCAGTGTGGATGTCATTATTTTAGAAAGGGTCTAATGTATCTGTAATGTATCTTTATTTCTATTTTTTCTTTAAGGACACACACTGACAGGTACAGAGTGCACGCAGAAGGACTCTGTGCCCTCCCCAGGTTGTTTCAGGCCATGTCCTATGTTACTTATGCCTATGGCAAATAATGCTTGTGTTTATCTGTGCATGCTGTGCAGCATGTGCGTATTACCTGGATATGACTCCTCGGGCAGTGAGCTTCTCTGCAGGACTGCCAGGCTGTGGAGCTAACATGTCTCTAATCCTCACACAACCTGCTGTGCCCATGCCAACCACGACTGCTCCAAACATGCTGACTGAGAAGCAAAGAGAAGAGGTTAAAGAGTAGTTCAGTGCATGAAGGGCCAAGTGACCCCTTACATATGTTTAAACCAGGGCCGTAGCAAGATTATGTAAATATTCAGGTCATAATTCCACCCAACAGTCCAGCGGATTAGTTTGAAGAAACTGTTTAATATACAGCTGGTCCAACATAGTCTGACTTATGCTGAGAACTGATGCATCAATGCAGTTTTACCTTCATCTCATAACTATCCCATGTGGTAAATCATATGCACGTAAAACTCCCTGCTAGTTTTACCCGCATATGATTTACCGAAAAGACATACAGCATAGCATTGTATTAACATTCCCCCTTAGATGAAAAGTAGCGTCCATTTTCACATTTATGCTACATAGGCATTAAAAAGGTTTTTCTCTTTAGAAGAGGTGGTCATTTAGATTATCTGTGAATCCTTATGGTCTGTTGGATTTGTCTAAATTTGTCTTGGCCATTAAGTGTCACATTTTTATTCACGTCTGACTGCCGTGATAACGTAAGACAATGAGTGTAAAAATATCCACCATCAATTTAAAGAAAACCTGTTATGTTTATCTTTTAGTGTAAACTGCACTTCAGGTCAAAAGGTTCACACAAAGTTCAGTGGACTGTTTACCTGTGTGACAAGCAAAGACTCTACAGGCCTAGAGCTCTGCACTACGATCTAATGAGTAACAAAGAAATACTTCCAGATCCTAATTTCTTTTCAGTGACATTTTGCTGAGTTGGCACAACTCATAAACGACAGTGAACCCAGCAACAACAATACAGGCTACACCGGGGGGGGGGTTCATAAAGCTAAACTACATAGCTGCCGTAGAGAGGTCGTTTTGAAATATTATACAGCAGGGGTTTTCAAAGTCTGAGACTGTGGACCTCCCCTAAGTCAAAGCTTGGGAAAAGTCACCTCCTAACCCGCCTTAGTTTACTTGCTTAATTTTGCTCAGTTCCTGGATGCATTTAGGGTTATGATCATGGTGGAATGATATTGCTGTGTGACATAACTTCAGACTTCACCAAGTACATTACAAAAAGCTCTGTCCTAAGATATTTATTAGTTTCTGACTTTGATAAAGTGGGTTTTTAAACAATTCCCCAAAACTACTGTATCTCCGAACTCTCTCTTTAACTAAATCACACAGACATAGGCTATTCTATGTGGTCTGATTTTGCTAACTAATGTAATATTGTTTCACACTCACTGAGCTTCCACAGAAACTATTTGGAGCCCTCCTGGGGGGGCCAGCTTCCCACTTTGAAAACCTCTGGGTTACACAATGTATAAGGAAGTGTGATGTTGGCAGTGGTGAGCTGGATAACAGTACTTCCTACACTGTGAAGGTTGTGTTCAGCTGTAAAATGCCCCATAAGTCATAAATAAAAGACCACTGACTTGCAAGTCAGAGCTTGACTGCACCTGTGTGGACTAAGTTAACCATTTTAAGTAATCTATGGTAATCATTTATAGTATCTAAATATAGATACTAATGGTAGAAACTGAGCACAGCTGGTGCCGATATTATTTTAATTCCCGTGTCTAAGTTTCCTTTAATCAGAAATCCAAAAACAGCACAGTCCAAGCAGAATACCGGGCCGATGTGACCCGGGGACAGTTGTCCTTTTGTGACTCAACATTAACTTACAGTAATGCCATTTGTTCGTCGCCTTTCTGCAGGACAAGCCTTAGAAATTAAAGGACACATTGCTGCTCACTTACCTGCTTTTATTTCGCTCTTCCGCGACCCACACGAAGAAATCTGGATGTGTTTGTTGTGCGTATGTAAAGAGATGACATAACACGAAGCTCGCGCTTGGATAACAACCTCACTGCTGTTGAGTCTGCTGCGCGAGGCGGTTCACTATCTGTCGCAGGCATTACATAAGGCGCGCTTGTTATGCTGCCGTGGTGAGCCAGGCCTACGGTGGGAGAGGGGCGGGGTTTTCTTTCTTCACTAATTCCTAAATATTATAATCAAGTTTGAATTTATGGACTCAGTAATAGGTATTACCAAAAGAACTGTACTTACAAATCATATAAAACACACTTAAATACATTACAATGATTATATTACTATTACAAATTAAATGCTGTAAAAACTGCCATTTAATCCTGTTTGTACAATGAAATGAATCAATACTCTAATAGAAAATACTCATGTCTCCTGTGTGGCATTCACGACAATGGGATTGTCTATTTCTGCTTTTTCACTCTTTTTAAGATGTTCTTACATAACTTGAAACTGAAGTAGTTTCATAGTTGGGTCCATGAACTCCTCCTGGATAGTGCTGGGTTCACTGATATTTCAGGCTGACTGTCTAGCACTCTCCAGGCTGGCCATCGCAACGTGACGTCGGGTTGTGTTTCTCCAAAATTTGATTCTGTTAAAACTTTTTTTCTGTAGACTATTCATGCCAGAAGAGCACTTTTCAGAGAACCAGGTTTACGCTGGTAACCACAACCTTTCAAACCTCAACCTGTATCTCACTATGGGAGATGTGGCCGAGTCCTGACTTGCATGCTCCGAAGCCCATCACACCTCAGCCCAGAAGGGTCCCACAAGCCCTCTACGTGGGCTAGTACACATTTGACATGAACCCACACTCAGACATTTGTTTGTGATACAACAACAAGATTGTTTGAACTCAAAACAGTTGTAAGGCATTTAACACAGCTTAAGATTTTGAATAAACCCTGGCATCAAACCTACAAACTAACTGTGTTTGTATTTGTGTCAGTAATGTGGTTAACATAGGCTAAGCCATTAGGAACAATGACCAGAAAAATAAAAGTAAGTTACAATCTGTACACATTGTGCACTAATATTGCTTCTGAAAGAAGGCCCATCTACTGGATATTATGGCCGGGTAAATAGAGCTCCAGGTAACAACATTAATTCACAGCCATATTGCCATATTACAGTTGTGGGAAATAGAGCATTATGAGGATTTTCTCTGAACATGAGCAAGAATAACTCCACGGGCAGTTCATACTCAACTCAATATCAGTTTGAAACACCCATGGAGTTATCAGGGCTGTAATGCACAGATAAGATAGATAAAAACTGCCCCCTCTTGTTTTTTTAAATGAGGCATTTTTGAGATGAAATGATGTGTTTTGAGAGCCACACTCTGCTGCATTGCTTTGAGTATTTGAAATAGGTGTCATAGGTCATTATGACATATTTAGTCTACAAATGCACACTTCCTAATATATACCCCTGAATCCAGAATGCAGGGGGAAAGACAATAGCACCAGAAAGACCTATCAGCATGAGCTACTTCTATGATATGAAAATGTTTAAATGCAAGTTTGTTGAAGGGCGTGATCTGGGTTCATGTTCTGATTTGACCCAAAGTTGAGAGTTAATAAAGGAATGGCTGATGAGAAGTTGTCTACTGAGACATTAGCTATGTTTCCAACCAAATGTAATTCAATTTTAACAAAATTTTGAGAAAATCCGCAAAATTGAATTATGGAAAGGATTCACAGAGATGTTATTCTGTGGTAAAATTACACAATGTTGCTCAGTCACTTGCTGCTAGCTATAAATCTCTAGTTGATGTTATCAAACTGCTAAATAACACAAAGCCGCCTGGCCGAACATGAAAGGCACACGCCAGAGTATTAATGGAGCGCACCCGATACAGTCCGTGTGACGTTTACGGATGTAAACAGAGGCGCGGAGTCGTCCCACCATGCGTCCTACTGGTGTGTAACAAGGTGAGCTGCAGACACAGAGCTGTCATGTCATATGAAGATCAGCTGCAGTTAGACAGTATACACGTGCAAACACACACACACACACACACACACACACACACACGAAAAGCCACTGATTTCCCACTGATTCTAAACACATTTTTCATTTATTTTAGGAATGTCCCTGTAGCTGAAGCTGCGCTTTCGTGGAGTGTTCCGAGAAGAAAGTAAGCAGGAAGATCCTCCACAGTTTCCTGCGGTAAGGCACATTAAATTATTCTAGTCAAACAATACGTTACATCATAAAGACAGTGAACGTTACCGCAAACATCTCTTTGTGCTGTTAGCTGTAACGTTCAGGGTCATGGCCAGGATCGTAGAAATGCTGAGCCGTGTTTAAGACATTTAGTACTTAAAATTAGGAGTCGCTATTTAAAAGCCACTTAACGTTACTTATTAGTAAGGATCTATTCCATAAGTTTTCCATAACTAGTAAAAAATCTAGTATTAAGAATGAAAATGTTATTTAGTATTTTTTAGAATAGTTAACTAATGAACAGGTACTAGTATCTAAATTATAGAGCTTAATTAGATAAATAAACAAATATGGCCAATTTTTTTTTATTCAGTGTCTTATTGCATCACTTTCAACATCAAATATATATAAATGAATATAACATAATAAGCAGCATAACTGCAGTATATTTCAGGATTTGCACTCAGTACCAGTGGTGTGGCACATAATTCTGGTCCATTTACATAAAGCATTTTATACAAGGGAAGAAAGAGGCGCTGGAATATTTTTCACAAGTTACAAGTTGATTAAAACTCATACATGCCAACATATTTATTTTAGACATTCGGTGATATTTCATTACCACGAACCTCAAGCTTTTTGAGTAGGTGATAACAGACAGCTGACTGCAGCAAGGTTGATTATTGAAAGCTGCTGCAGTGCAGTGTAACATTTATATTTTATTTCCCACTGTGAATGTTTTTGCCACTGAAAATGTCAAAGCAGAAACTGATTCTGTGAGCAAAGGTTTAGATATTTCATGGTTTGAAAGCCCATAGGCTAAAAGGTTTGTGAGCTCCGATGTTTAATGCAGTTGCTGCTTCTGTTCCTGTGGTGTAACTCATAGTTACTTCATTATGTAAGATATTTTGCCAGCTACAGTGTCTGTCTGTGCAGGCTTACAAGGAAGAAAAGATGAGAGTTTCCACCAGTCAGCTGCAGCAGCTCACCATCTTCACTACAGTGCTGACCGGTGGAGGGATCGGCACCATGTACTATCTGCTGCAGAGTGAGTACAAATGATCGCTCTGTGTGTGTGTGTGTGTGTGTGTGTGTGTGTGTGTGTGTGTGTGTTGTGGAGGCAGCTGCTTTATTCTCTCACAATTCAACTGACATTTAAACTGATCTCACTGGACTTGCACTGCTTGGGGTGATGATGGCGCAGTGCATAAGACACATGCTTTTGTTGTGAGAGTTCAATCCCCCACTGTGACACATCCACCAACGTGTCCCTGAGCAAGACACTTAACCCCTAGTTGCTCTAGAGGTGTGCGACCTCTGGCATATATAGCAATTGTAAGTCGCTTTGGATAAAAGTGTCAGCTGAATGAATAAATGTAACGAAATGGTTGCAAAGTGCATAACTTTAACCAGAAATGCGCCGATTGATCAGCCGGTTACCAGAATTGGTCGGTTTTCAGTCTCACACATCTGATCTGGTCAAATGTACATGCATTATGGTTCTTGTCATGTGCACAGCGACACAGACAGTCCACTGACTGTTGCAGAAAAAAAAAGAGTGAGAGGCAGTTTACTAGTTTAACCTGCAGGTGACGACATTACCTCACATGAGTTGACTGGATTGCCACTACCTAGCACCATCCTCAACCATAAGAGACAAAAAGAAGGGGTGCCTGGTTTCAACCATGTGGTCAAAGATAAAGTGGTAAATCTTGATTTAAAGTAATGGTAGTGATTCAGGATGTGGTTCATCATTGCCATCTCCAAGTGTGCTTTACGGTGCCCTAGTGTTAAAGAAAAGTAGATGAAAAGCAGAGACATTCTGTATTCTATAAAGCTCACTCAGGAATACTTCAGGTAGTTATAACGTACTTTGATGTAAAATTGTAAGTGTTCTTTGTTTAATTCAAATATTTTTTCTCCTGCCCCCAAAAGGTAAAATACGGGACAGTCAATACAAACAGTGTCAAAACTTTGGTTCTTTCCTCTACCCCACCCTAATGTCCCTTTGTCAAGGCCGGATTAGTACCCCCAGGGGCCCCTAGGTACTGAAGCTACGAAGGGCCCTCCTCCCATCCCTAACACCCGCACTTTCATTAACAAAGCTATTGACACCCAGCAAACCACAGGCACCTGATAGCACCTTCGCCTCACCAGACAGACTGCACCAACACACACAGACACACACACACACATGATGCTAAAGCCCACCTTAATTAGGCTATTTGAACTTCCAGCCAAGCTGGCATGTCAAGTCACGCACATTGGTGAAACGTTGATGACTAGTCCAGCTGAGCAGGCAGCAAGTCTGCCTGTCCTGTTCAATAAATCAAGTGCTGCCATCTCACTCACAAATAACAATACAATGATATAATGAATTCAGTCATCCCAAGACAGTGTGTGGCTCAGTACTGTGGCAAAAATAGTGTTCACTGAAAATCACCCAAGCAGAAAGCACACTAGTAATTATGAAATATGACTGACAACATCATAACACAACACTGCTGAGTGCAGTTTGCAAAAGAACAGTCACTAAGTGAGCTGGGCAACTTCACACACTCCAAAAGCCAACATATCTAGTATTTGACAAACTTAACTCTCACACAAGTTTATAGCAGCATCACATCATAATGACGCAATGTTGCATGCAAACAGCATGTAAACCCTGCAGAAAAATGTATTATCTGGTCACACAATCAGATTAACCTAAGTTTCCTGGTTTACAGGTAGAATAACAGCTCTCACCTTTAGAAGTTCTTATATTCTGTCTTTTTCTATGTAAAGTAGCCGATCAAGTCCTCAAAGTCCAGCTAGCTATATATTTTTCTGGTGGACGGTGACTATGTAATAATAATATAGTTATATAACTGTTAGCTAATGTTACAGTTAACTTCCTGAGGCTGAGCATAGCT